AAGAGTCCTAGTCACAGACGCATCCTGGCTGATCATTATCTCAGTCCTGTTTAGGTTCCAGAGAAGTTAGGCTGTCCTCACTCGAGAGGAGCAATCTGGTCAGGGTAAGTTGTTGTGTGACAAATGGTCTGTCCTAAGGAGGCTCTGTTGTTCCTTTCCTTTGGGGCATTTCTTCTATCCACCTTTCCAAAGATATTATCAATCAGTCCTGTTCTTTGGAATTCCAAGGTGGCTTCTAGGTGAATGGCTCAGAGCAAAGACAGATACAAAAACAGAGGCAGGAATGCCAATCTTTTCTCCTGTTTTCAGTTAATTTATGTACCCAAGTAAGGAGTCAATGCTTTTCAGCAAGAGCAGTTTAAGTACCTATTACAGGATGGTCAAATATCATCCAGGCAACAGGGATTTGGTTGGGGAAAGGCATGGAAAGGATTGCTCACATTGTATCTCTCAGTTTGCACATTTTCAGCCAATAAAGAAAAAATCTCATAAAGGGAACAAAATTATTAAGTACACGCAAAATTGGAGTTGTATATAATTGTATTTACCTTTGTATCTGAGAGTTCAGATTGCAAAATGCATAATAAGACTCCAAGTATATCATTCTGGTCATTCAATTATACTGAGAAGTTAGATCTTTCTATAGGCAGAGTTTGGTCCTTGTGTCTGAACATTCCAAATACAGGAAAACTCAGAAGTGTCTATGTGCTTTGACTCCAATAGAAACAAGTCACCAGCTGGGTGCCAGAGGCTCATGGCTATTAGGATCTCAGATTGATACCAGCCCAGGCAAATAGTTCACAAGACACCATCTCCAAAACAACCAGAGCAAAATGAACTGGAGGTTTGGCTCAAGCAGTAGAGAGCATTGGCTCTCTATAATCCTAGGTACCTGGAAGGTAGAGATCAGGAGGAAAGCAGTTTGAGGCCACTCTGGGTAAACACTGAGACCCCATTTCAACCAATAAAAAACTGGGCATGGTGGTGTTGGGTCTGGGGGATCAGAAGACAAAAATGAGCCAGTCCCCCCATCCCCAATGAACCCTACATCCTGCAAAGGGACATGTGATTTCACAAGTCATAGCCCCCTGGGGATTCCTCAAAAATGCCACAAAGCCAATAAACAGGAGGCTTTCACAGGACTCTGTATATGTTCCCGCAGAGATATGTCAAAAGACCACTCCACCCCTGACACCTGACTCCCCTTCCCCAAGAAAATGACCAAATAAAAAACCCCTTTACGTAAAGAACAGGGAGCTACCAATTTTCCGGGCTCCCTGTCCATCTCTAGGGGCAGCTTTTCCTTTGTAATAAATCCTACTTTGTGTGCTGACCTTGTTGTCTCATGAGTCAGTCCTCTGCCTCATGAGCCAATTCTTCAGCCAGTGGAGGCAAAAACTCTCGACAATGGCATGTGCCTATTATCCCAGCTATGCAGGAAGTGTAACTAGAAGACATGTTTAACTAGAAACTGTCATTAATCTTTCCTCCCTATGTCTCCTGAGCTACTTCGTCAGTCACAAATTCATTGTTTTGCCACATCCAGTAATCAATTCTTAGTCCCCATTTTCCAATTCCTCTAGAGCCTCAGTTCAGATTAGGTTTTTTTTTTTTTTTTTAGTACTGGGGTTTAAACTCAGGGCCTACACCCTGACATACTCCACCAGCCCTTTTTTGTGAAGTGTTTTTTCGAGATAGGGTCTCATAGACTATTTGCTGGCTTCGAGCCCCAATCCTCCTGATTTCTGCCTCCTGAGTAGCAAGGATTATAGGTGTGAGCCACCGGCACCTGGCCAGATTAGATCTTTATTGGCTCCCCTGACTCCACATTTTCTTAGTTTTCCTCCTGTCTGGCCAACCTGCTCTTGACTAGACTGGAGTTGTTCTCCAGGACTCATTCTGGAATTTCTCTCTGCTCATTTGCAATCTCATGATTTCAAATACCACCTGTAAAACAGAGGACTCCCAAAATTCCCTCCCTAGTCTTGTTTTCTCTCCTGAATGCCAGCCTACTGAACATTTCTACTTCAATGTCTAAGAAATATCTACTACAAACATGTTTTCAATTGTAAGTTGAAAATTTCAAGCAAGCCTCATCTATTTTAGTAAATGACACGCAGACAGGCTAGGAACAGAAAAAGTGACCCACCATGGGACTCCTCTTAAGCAAACAGATACCTCCATGGTAGACTTTTTTTTTAATACTCCCCCAGCACCACCCTGAGCCATCTTTAGGGCAATAAGTCCCCTCTAAGTCATAAATACCCTGGCAGTCTTAAATATCCTTGCAAGATAGTGTCCAAAGGGGTGCCTCTGAGTTCAGGCTTGCCTGGTAAAAGAAAGTTCTGCTTGCTCTAGTTTGACCTCTCAGGCAAAGTGCTGTACTCAAGACCTTATGAATATTGGTCACATCTCATACATACAATTAAAGGCCTAAAATTAGCATAAGCATCCATGCAAAAAAAAAAAAACCTGTTATGTGATAAGGCTGTGTTAATTAAACCTGTCAGCTACCCTAGCCCTTTCTTTTTTCTTGCCTTACAATTTATGAATTGGTGTTTAAACAAAGAGGTCGATGGTTCTTTGTTACTTGGCAAGAGCCCACTGTTTTTTCTCTTGCGGTGCTTCCTCTTACTTTTTCTTCCCTTGTCTATCAATAAAGTTTTGTGCTGGTGGAGTGGTATCAAGTGATAGAGCACCTGCCTAGGAAGGGTGAGGCCCTGAGTTCAAACCCCTTATCACCAAAAAAATAAATAAAGTTGTTACTGTTTTGCAATTTGTGTCTCTGTCCAGTTTTCTGTTCAGATGACACAAGAACTTGGGATCTTCTGGACATGCCTTCTTAGACCACTCAGTGGTGTAATAATGCCACCATATACACAGTTGTCCAGACCCCAAACCCCAGACTCTTTTGTATTCCACATATTGAACAAGCTGGACTTGGCAGGATACAAGTTGAAACATTTATTATTATGAATGTTCTTAGAAATTTGTCTGTGTGAATTCTCAGATGGATTTTACTTTATTCTTAGATATTAAGGAGTATTATCACTTTACTCATAAAATGTCCAGACAGTAAAATATCAGCTCAAACTCTTCTCAGTTGAAAGCTCTTCTGTCATCTAGCGCTGCCAGATTCAAAGTCTGAGATTCCACGTAGGCTGAACCTCTTACTCCCACTCTTCAAGTTTCTACATGGAGGGAGAAAATTCCAGATGCTTTTTTGCTCCAGGGTTGGGGAGTAGCCCATTTGGTTGGTGAATTGGGGAGAAGAGGCAAGGTCAAGTGTGCTGAGGCTCCTATGGGTTTTGGTATCCAGCTGCATGGCACTTGGTGGAGCGGCTCCATGGCCCAGAGATTGCATTGTCCATCTGGGAGTTTAGGAGTAAAGACTTAGTGCTACTTTTTGCTTCTAAGCTTTGTCCTCCAAACCAACTTTTTATCTGTGGAAAAACTGATATTCTGATACCTACCCATCTTATTGCTGGGCCTTCACTTGTCTCTGAACTGGGATAGGAAGAGAAGTGTCCTTGACTGGCCACCTAAAATCGCCATATTCCTTAGAGGGAATGTGTGTGTGTGTCTCCCTCCTCCCTATTTGGCCCCCTGGCTTGCTGTGGTTCATGGCCCTTCAAAGATCATAGAAGTAGAATTTGTGGCTTGGGCAGTCGTAACTTGAGGCAGATGACATGCAGGGCCGCTGCGGGCGTCTGGAGCTGTCTGGGATCTTGCTGTAGTCCCTGGGTGTCAGCAATGCTTCCTTCTGACGGTTCCTCAGCCCTCGGTTTCTGCTGGCATGCGGGGGCTTTTCTGTCGCCCTCCCGTTTTCAGGTGCAGTCAGGGCCTTTCCCCTTTAAGCTTTTCCTGGGCGCCGAGGCTCCAGGGTCGCTGAGTCCTCACGTGGCTGGGGAGGCGCTCTGTCCTCTGTAGTCCCCAGGGGTACAGGACACCCTACGCCGCCGTCTAGCCGAGCCCTAACAGCAAGGCCTGTGTTGGGCTCCCAAGAACACCACCTCATCCCTCACTCCAACTAGCAGGTCGGGCTCAGCCCCCGTCGTGACCCCTCCCCCGACGGGCCCCTCCCCCGACAGGCCTCTCCCCCGTCGGGCCCCTCCCCCGACGGGCCCCTCCCCCGTCGTGACCCCTCCCCCGACGTGACCCCTCCCCCGACGGGCCCTCCCCCGACAGGCCTCTCCCCGTCGGGCCCCTCCCCCGACGGGCCCCTCCCCGACGTGACCCTCCCCCGACAGGCCCTCCCCGTCCGTGACCCCTCCCCCGACGGGCCCTCCCCGACGGGCCCTCCCCCGTCGTGACCCTCCCCCGACGGGCCCTCCCCCGTCGTGACCCCTCCCCCGACGGGCCCCTCCCCTGACGGGCCCCTCCCCCGACCGACCCCTTAACTCCCGTCGCGGCCCCGCCCCGCGACGTGATCTTCCCTCGGGTCGAGGGTCCTCAGTTCCTTCCAGGCCCCTGATGACCGCCGCCCAAGGTCGGACCTCACGACCTCCCCCACTCACCTGAGGCCGCCCCGGCCTCCTCGCGGTTCCTCCTACAGCACTCTTGGCTTCCTCGGTCTACGGCTCTCTCTCCAGCCACCTTTCCTCCCTGCGTTGACCGGGCCATCCTCACAGACACTCGAGACACCCTACCTAAGCGCGCCCCTGTCAGGATATCGCGCGCGCCTCGGTGTCCCGGGGCTTCTGAGGCGATTGGCCCCGCCCCATCCTCAAGCCCCGCCCTAAGACTCAGCTCCCGCCCGCACCTTGGGCCCCGCCCCCATCCCCTCCCGCTCTTTCCCCGCCCAGTCAGGCATCACCCAAGGCCGACCCCGCCCTGAAGGCCCCGCCTCTCGTCGCATGGGGCGTAGTGAGCTCCACCACTGCGATCGCTCAGCGTGGCCCACGCCCACCTGGCGGCGCTCTGATTGGCTGCGCGGGCATCGGCCCACCTGACTGCGCGTCGGCCGAGACGCGCGCTTGCGCGGTGCTCGGTGCGTGCGGGCGGGGTTCCCGGTGCAGGTGTTTGCTGACCGGCCGCCGTGCTCCGCAGACGCGACGCTGTCATGACGGAGGGCACGTGAGTCTCCGGCTCCGGGACCCCCGCGGGTGCTGAGAAGGGACGCGGCGGGGCGGCGGCGGCGGGAAGGTGCTTGGGCAGACTTACGAGGCGGGCGTGGTCAGTCGACCTGCCTGCCCCGCCTGGACGGAGAGGGCGGGCCGCTGCTCACCCGCGCTGGTCCCCGCAGGTGTCTGCGTCGTCGGGGGGGACCCTATAAAACCGAGCCTGCCACTGACCTCAGCCGCTGGCGGCTCCGCAATGAGCTGGGCCGGCAGACATGGACGTATCACCAAGAGGAGGACGACCCTGGCCGCCAGCAGACGGGGCTGGAGGCCCACTCCCTGGGGCTGGACACCGTGAGTGGCCACAGTCCTGCCCCAGCCTCCCCCCGGGCCTGGGCACGTTAGTTGACAAGAGTTATTTTCTCGTAAAAGCCGGCGGTGACCTGGGCAGTGCGTCCTGCTGGTGGGAGCGAAGGGACCCTTTTGCTTCAGCCTCCTCCTCCCGGGATGCCCGCCTAGGAAACTTGCTTCGCTTTACTTTGAAAGAATTTCAGGCGAATAGAGGCGTTGCGACGGTAGCTGTGGTTTTGCTTTTATTCACGAAAAAGGTGCTTTTGGACCCAGTGTTCTGGTTGTGTGCTTCCACGTCCGCAGTGCAGCTAGCTGTAGAAAGGTCGTTTAAAGGGCTTCTTCCCAAGTCCTAGTCACCAGCCCTGGCCCAACTGCCTCCGGGGGGCGGCGGTGCCGTCATGCGGGCCCTTTCTGAGAAAGCAAGAATTCCAGGGCCAGGTAGGCATCAGCGTCCTGCCCACACCCTGCGGATGCTTGGTTTGAGACATCTTGAGATGTTTTGAAGAAATTTGCAGGTGTGTGGCTGCAGAGTAAAATCAGGAGAACAAGAAATTGTTCTTTTACCTTGGCGAGGTGTGATACTGCCATCAAAGACTTCAAGACTTGATTGAAATGGTTGGAACTTTTAAAGTAATTTAGGTTCACTGTTTTGACTTTGGCTGTGGATGAGGAGGGCTCCTCTGGCTAGGCCGCAAGCACCTTCAATTTTCATTTTTTCCCCCCTCCCTTTGCAGAAGAGTTATTTTAAAGACTTACCCAAAGCTCAAACGGCCCATGAGGGGGCTCTGAATGGAGTCACATTTTACGCAGAGCTGCAGGCTGAGGACGGGCATTGGGCCGGTGATTATGGAGGCCCACTCTTCCTTCTGCCAGGTAGGAGCATGCCACCCTGAGTGGAGGGCCTGGGCAGGGCTAGCTTGGATCATCCTTGGGGGCCTGGCCCTGACTAGTCTAGGCTCTTGGTGAATCAGGTGAAAACCTAGGAGCTCTTGGGAAAAGGGTTGAGGAGGGGTTGCCAGTCAGCCTGCTGCTGTTGCTGGGGAATAAGAGTGAAGGCACAGATAGCTCAGTGTAGGATGATAGGTACTCTGATAAGGAAAGCAGGGATTTCTCTACAGACTGGGACTGAGGGGTGGCTTTTGAATTCTAGTACGAGATTGGGCGGGTATTCTAGGTGGAGGGCCCAGCCTATGCCAAGGTGCTGTAGGTGGCAGGGTGGTAGGCGAGGAACTGATGTCCATGAGAGTGCAATGTGAGCACTGATGTCTGCTGTGAACTCACCCTGAAAGGGTAATTGGGGGAGTTCTGGCAGGGGAAATTCAGGTTCAGACTGGTAATTGGTAGTAGGATTGCAACTGGACATTCTGGACACTGAACTGATTTGGCTGGACAAGAGCATTTTGTATCCTGGGGATGTTTCTCTAAAGAAATATGCAGCCTTATAACATGGGAGATTCTCTCCACACAACAGGACACTTTTCCCCAGTGATTTGTAATCCTACCAAATCAGTGATCTGAATTCCTATGTAAATATGGGTTTGTTTTTGTGGTAAACTCTGCAATGAGGCCCTTCCTATGCCAGGTCTTGGGCACATGGCTGATGGAGCCTCTGTGTGGGAAGTGAGGGTAGATACTAGCCTGAGAGCTCCATGAACTAGAGGACTAAGCCTGGGAATGAAGATTCTTTGTGAATAGTATTGTCTGTTTGCAAAATGATACACATTTGCAGAATGGTACAGGTTTATAAAAAGTTCACAAAACAACAATACAAATAAGCAGTAAGAATCAGGGGTGACCTTTTTGGTCTTTCTTACCTAGCAGAGCAAAGCAAGACCTCGTCTCCCTGTGGGCCCACTGATCTTAAACTGGCTCCTCTTTGGGCTTCAGTGCACTCATGGAAGGCCTCCTCAAGGTTCTATGCAGTGTTTGGTGTTTCTTTGACCCATACTGTGTCACAGGAGCCAGGCATGACTGTGGGCTCTGTAGGGCCTGAGCTGGGAGTCAACTGTGCTGCTGCTGCCCCTCCCTTGACCATGTTCCAAAGTCCCTGGCTGATTCCATGGGAAGCGACCCATGGGGCCAGTAAGAAAGGAGCTTGTGCTTGGCAGTGCTGAATACCTGCTCCTAGTGAGGAATTGCCTTCCTGCTGCACAGGCCTTCTGATCACGTGCCATGTGGCAAACATCCCTCTGCCAGCGGGATACAGAGAGGAAATGGTGCGGTACCTGAGGTCAGTGCAGCTTCCCGACGGCGGCTGGGGCCTGTAAGTATGCCCAACTACAAAAATGAACATGTATGTTCATGCATTGTTTTTTCTGTAGAAGTTCTTGGGTTTCAAAGCAGCCATTGAGAGGTGGGGTGACTACTACAACTGTGGGCCTGGGGTGGGATCAGGGAGAGCCTGGCAGGAGGTGAGTAGGCTGGCAGCTGTGTTCAGGCTGGGCCTTATCATCACATCTGTTGTTGTGAATGGGTTTCATAGTTGATTGAGGGTCTTTTGAGACCCACATGCCAAATTAAAGCTATTGTTGGGTATTTTGTTTTGTTTTTGTTTTTGGTGATACTGGAGTTTGAACTCAGGTCTTTGAGCTTGCTAGGCAGGTGCTCTTTTGCATCCATGCCTCCTGCCCAAGCCATCACTGTTTAAAAATCACTGAGGCAGAAAATTGCCTTTGCCTATGGAGTGTCAGCAGGTGGAGGGGGATGCCCAGAAGCTCCCTGTCTCAACCTGCTTTCCTGGTGTGGCACACACGCTGGGACTGCCCTCACGCAGATACATTGACTCAGGTGAGGGAAGTGAGCAGAGAGGTGGGGCAGGTCTTGCCATGAGGTTTTGGAGCAGCTCAGATGTGGGAGGTGAGTGAACCTTTTTCCTGGGAAAAATTATGCATGCTTCCTGTGTTGTGTCATGTTGGTGGAAGTTATTCTAGCATTCTTTGGCAAACTTCACTGCCAGTGTTGCTTTATTTCTTAGAAATAATGGCAGAGGTCATTTTCCCACCAGTCTCCTGCTCTCATAGGCACATTGAGGACAACTCCACAGTGTTTGGGACTGCGCTTAACTACGTGGCTCTCAGAATCCTGGGTATTGGGCCTGATGATCCTGACCTGGTACGCGCCCGGAACCTTCTTCACAAGAAAGGTACACCCTGTATCCCTGTATGGCATGTGTTAGGTAAAGGGTTTGTGTCATATTGGTATAATGAACTCTTGCAAATGAGAATCAGTTTCACTTTCAGTCAAAACACAGCAAAATACATGAATCAGGGAAGTTGTCAAAGCAGAAATAGGGTGGAAATTGTTTAACTCATTTTTTAAAAAGCAAATTAAAATAACCTGATAACTCTGTTTGCTTTATGAATTGAGACTTAAAAGCAGTGTGCTGATACACTGCTTGTGGGACAGTATGTAGTCTTCCTTCTGGTGGCAGCCCAGCCAGAGGCAGGCAGCCCCAGTGAGAGTTCTGCTTTGCCCATACCATCCACACTTGCCATCCTTTGCACCTGGCTTTCTGACTCTCTCCTTGCCTGTGGACTTTGAAGGTCATTACAGCCCTGGGCAGGTTCTATAACTCCCACAGCTCTGACACTAAAGCACAGCTTGCATTGCTGCCCGGCAAAGCCTTGTATGATTCTCCATGCTGCTTCTCAAAGACTTTCTTCATCCTTTCTCTACCACCCTGCTGTCTGCTCCATTCTCAAGGACCTCCTGTCAGCTTCTCAAAACCCCTTCCAGGCTCCCATGTACCACATCCTCTCATCCCAATTTCCATCCCTATCCTACTGTCTCAGAAGTTCCTCTTACTGTTTATCTCATTTCTTAAATTCATTTCTTCAGGATTTCTTCCTGACCATGCTAGAGAAAGCGTCTGTACGTAGTCTCATGAGATCTTGCATTTTTCCTTCATGTATTTGTCATTGTGTAATTAATTCATCATCAACCTTTGGTGTCATTGATGCTGAGTTCATCAGGCTCTCCTGATGCCTGCTTAGAGGAATGTGTTTGGGCAGTGTTTTGCTTAGTAGCTTCCTGGGTCTTTTTGACTTTTGCATACTTACAATTCGGGCACAGCCTCCTCATAAAATGTATCCAAGTCAGTGTTGCCATGTGCTGTGCCTGAGACCAGCTGCTGCTTGGAGTGGCTCTGGATGTTGGGCCACTAGTGTCAGATCTGCTCTGGAGTCTGGACCATCATTCCACTTGTGCTGCACTCTGTCAAATAGGAATACACAGCCAGCTGCTTAAGCTCCACCTGAGAGGGAGAAGCCAAGCTTGCCCTTAGACTCCTCTTCGCCTTCTCCAGGCACATGTAGCCATGAGCCATTGTGTGCATCTGGGCCTCTTCCTCCCTGAGCACAAGGTGTTTCCACACCTTCCTAGGTAGCTGTCTTTACCTGATCCTTCCTATTGGAAGGGTCAGCAAACCGCTCTTCTGGAGCTGGGCACATTTGTTCCCCAGAAAGTTGCTGGTTCTGTGCAGTGATTGTGGGGTCCTGGGCAGCTCTGGAACTTACTTCTCATGTGAGGAACGCAGGCAGGCTGCCCTCAGTTCACACAAGAAGGGGCTCAGATGACTTCTGTGGCCAGTCTTTATAGGTAGAGGCAACTGATGTGAGCTTATTCTTTTCACAGGTGGTGCAGTGACCATCCCTTCCTGGGGAAAGTTCTGGCTGGCCATCCTGAATGTTTATAGCTGGGAAGGCCTTAACACTCTGTTCCCCGAGTTGTGGTATGCCTACTTTCTGCTGGTTATTACTGCCTTCCACAGTAGAGTTATGGACCACATGGAGTGAATTAGGCTCCCAGCAGAGGCCCTTCATGCACTGAGTCTTACAGATGTATGGAAAGGGTGTTCTGTTGGGTAGAAGGGAGGGAGGTACCAAGTCAGCCAGAGGGCCCAACTATGTGGCAGGGTTGTGGTGTACTATGGAGCAATTACAGAACCCAGTGTGTAGCACAATAGGAAGCTTGGGCTTTGTGGGGTAGACAACAGATCACAGTTGGTAATTATGAAAATCCTGAGCATATATACGACAAGGGTACTCCCAACCCAGCCTCAGTTGTTAGGCAGTCACTGCCTCTCTCTTTCCCTTCATCTGGTGTGTGGCAAATGTTTAGCAAGTCCTAGATGTCACTTGACCCACAAATATACCTGCATGTGTCTTTAAATTTTGTTTTAAGAGTCAATAGTATTTACCCAGCAGTGTCAATGTTAATTCCTTATTTGCAATCTATGGTCCAGTATCTTTTTATATATTTTTTTATATCTAACGAAAGCTATGGACCTGTCCCCAGAAAACAGTCATATACATATAAGTTTACCCCAGCATTACCCATATTGGGAGGTAAGATCCCTAGAAATACACAAAGCTCAAGCCGAGCTCCTGCTAACCTCTTGGAGTGCTGAGGGGACAGGGTTGAGAGTCCCTGTGGTAGATGACTTTGGTGGGAGAAGGTATGGTATGAAGAGCCGCTCAGGAGAGGATCCTTGAAACAAGGGATAAGGGCTTAACTCTAAAGTCAGGTTGGGTGGTGACAAGTAGAAAGTGTGGCAAATGCTGAGTGACTGGGGATATGGAGGTGCGTGCAGTACGTGTGTGTGTGTGTGTGTTTATGTACAGTGCTGCCGTTGTGTGGGGAAGGGCGGGTGCTGTTACCTGAGGTAGGAAGGTATCCTGGAGCCATTCTGATGTCCTATGGTAACACCATTGACAATTGGCTAGGCTGAATGTGAGACCTGTGTATGGAGCAGGCAGAGAAAGGGCCTGGGAAGGGTTGTCAGCCTGACCACCAGGGCAGGAGGGGTGGAATGCTGGAGGCTGGGGTTGGAGGGGTGTTTGGCTGTATCCCTACACAGTAGAGCCCTGTTGGTGCTAGGCTGTATAAACACTAGGGTGCTGCTGGTCTTCGCTTGGAATTGGTTGGGGGTGGAATGGAAGGCCAGAAACTCAAACCACCTGGAGCAGCAAATACTACCCAGGGTATAAAAAAATGTCCTTTGGGGGTGGGGCGGGGAGGGGGCCAGGGTGCATGGGGGAGAGGTAGCCCAAACAGTGTATACACATATGAACAAATGTAAAAACAATAAAAAAAAGAAAAAAAATTTTCAAACTGCCCTTTGGAATGAGTGGATGAGCTCTCAAGAGAGTGAAGGTGGCTGAGGCCTGATGCTCACCATCAGGGAACAGGAAGTTATGCTCAGTGTACATGGTTCCATATGATCCTCATGCATGTATGAGGACAGAGGCTCAAAGGGAAAGGGCAGGAAGCAGGCCAGGTCATAATGCCCCAGGAAGCTGAGCCAACATCAGCAGAGAGATCAGAGACCCAGGGCCGGGGAGATTCAGCAGGCGTAAAGTTCTTAAAGCACACTTTAAAAATAAACCTTAATTTTGGCAGTACTGGGGTTTGAACTCAGGGCCTCACACTTGCTGGCAGGCACTCTACCACTTAAGCCACTCTGCCAGCTAATTAAAGATTTCTAATTCCAGAAAAGTTGCAGATAGCCCAGGGTGTTCTGAGACCCTTGCTCCATTTCCCTCTTTTCTTATGTTACTATCATTCACTTGTTGGCACAAGAGACCACAGTCACCTGGTTTTAGAATAGAAAACATTGACTGAGTAAAAGGGAATGACAGCCCCTAGTGAGGGTGTGCACACAGATGTGGCTACACCCACAGAAGCATGAATGTACCAGCACCATGTAGGCCAGTAGGCATGGCCAGCCACCTGGTGTCCGTGCTTAGGACTGAGGCCCCAGGGCTGGCAGTGAGGCAGAGACTTCTGTCCTGGTGTCTCACTGACGTGCTGTCCTTCAGGCTGTTTCCTGACTGGATGCCGGCGCACCCTTCTACTCTCTGGTGTCATTGCCGGCAGGTCTACCTGCCTATGAGTTACTGCTATGCCACCCGACTGAGTGCTTCGGAGGACCCACTAATTCAGAGTCTCCGCCAGGTGAGCTCTCTGACCACAAGGGACCTGGTCTAGGAAGACAAACAGCACACAGCCTCTGGGGCTGGATCCCCCTGGGATTTAACCATTCATATCTTCACATTGGGGCTCTACAGAGCCTCTGCCTTCTTTTCTCCTGTAGACAAACTAATTTTGTCTAGAGGGACCTGTGTTGTGGGATAGGCAGCTGCCACTGTCCAGTGTTCTAAGGGTCTTGGAGAGTTCATAGGCTGTGGGACATGTATGCCCAAGCAGTCCTGACCTACACTTATAATTATGTCCTTGGGAAGCAGCCCTGAAATGGAGTACAGGATGTATACTGGGCTGTGCCCTTGTGAAGGAGGAGAGGGTAGGCCTGGGGTTCCCAGAGCTGAGGAAGCTCCTCAGAATGGCCTTGTGGTAACTGAGATAGGTTGGGCCTCACACCCTGCAGTGGTTATTCATTTTTTTATCCCCCTTCCCTGGGAAAGGGCATGACCCAAAGCCCTTAGGATTGGTGGTTGGAGGCCTCTCCTTGTTGGAGTCAGGCCATCCTCTGTGTCTTCGAGGCATGTCTGCTGCCCCGCCAGTGGCTCAGGTATACTCTGCTTTCCAGGAGCTCTATGTAGAGGACTATGCCACCATCGACTGGCCTGCACAAAGGAACAACGTATCCCCTGATGATCTGTACACACCGCACTCCTGGCTGCTGCGCGTGGTATATGGTGGGTACCTCCTGAGGGCCAAGAGGGCCTGGGCAGCACGTGGTTTGTGGTATCACTCATTCAGCCCTCATGATTTCTTCCACTTTCCTGTGCTGTCAACGATAATGACCTCCCCTGTGCTTGGCCCTGTGGTGGGAACTGAGGATACACAGCCCTGCCTTAGTCCACACCTAGGACCTGTTAAGCTGCATGTCTACTCTCAAGAGGCCCCCAAACACTACCTGAGCAGGCAGGGCAGTAAGAGGTGTGAAACAGCCCTTCATGGGTAAGAAGGAGGAGGTGTAAGAGAGGTAATGTGAGTGGTAGGAGGAAGCCCAAGGAAAAAAAGAGGCCCAATTGCTGTATTGTGTGGTTAAGGCCAGGTGTTCCCCTGGTGTCTAGTGCCCACTGACGTCCTCTGCTATCCACAGCATTCCTCAATCTGTATGAGCGCTTTCATAGCACCAGCTTGCGGCAGAAGGCCATCCAGATGCTGTATGAGCATATCGCCGCTGACGACCGCTTCTCCAAGAGCATCAGCATTGGCCCGGTCAGTGCTCCCACCCCTTTGTTTGTGCGTGGTGCCACCAGGCACAGGTCAGATGCCCCAGGGGCATTTCTGTAAAACTGGTAGTGGAGGTCTTCCTGGAGCCTGGCACATCTCCTTTTGGGATGAGGCCTGGTCTTAGGTTTATAGCTCCCCTGTCCTCATCTCCTGTGCCCTAGAATCAGTGGAGCTGTCTGCCTACACTTAGCTCTCTCTCCTATCCCCACACCTGACTCTCAAGTAGATGTGTCTGGACACCTGCTCCTAGAGGCTACCTTCTGAACTTTCTGGCCAGCTGGGAGGGATGCTTTTCCTCCCGACTCCCCCTCTGTTCCCCTTGCAGGGTTTAGAGGTACCCAGGCGTAGACCTGACAGGGCTTTCAAGTTCCATTCCTACTGTCTCCCACCTGGTTGGGGAACACAAGCCTTTGGCTTGTCCTGCTCTTGCTTTTGCCTTCTGAAGCTATGAGTCTAGAAGAAGTCAGGGTACATACCCTTAGGAACTTCATGATCTGAGGCCATGTGCCGAGTAGTTGGGGCATATTAGCTTGAACAAGTGAACTGGCAGGAACCTAGCAAGTAAGCAGACCTCATAGCTAAGGGGCACTGGGACAGTGGTGGGCTGAGTTGGCAGTCTCCATACTGTGGTTGGTTAGTCCATGAATTCTGTGGATAAACCCAGCTGGCCCGGAGCCTCCTCCCCACTCCTTGTAGGCACTCAGTCTCTCCTCAGCCTCTTCACACCCTAAGCTGACCCATGACCTTGACTGACATCAATCTTGGTAGCAGTCATTTCCTGAGGACACACTTGCTTCAAGAGCACTTAGGAAGCTCCTGTTAGAGTGAAGGTCCCCTGGTCTGGCTCTGGGGCAAGGCTGTGCAGGTCCTGATGGCCATATCTCCCTCAGATCTCAAAAACAATCAACATGCTTGTGCGCTGGACTGCAGATGGACCAGACTCCCCTGCCTTACAGGAGCACATCTCCAGGATCCCAGATTACCTCTGGTGAGTGTGACTGGTATGTGGTTGGGAGGTGGCCCTGAGCACCTATTGCAGACACACAGGCATGGTGCTGGGCCCCCATGCCTCAGCATGTCAGGTGTCTGGGGATAGCTACCATGACCAGGAGAGGGTGTCTTTGAATGGGAAGATTGCTACTTAGCAGGAACTTGGGTGGTTCAGGGAAGCAGAGCCAAGAAACCTGTGGATGGGTAGGGCAGGTTCAAGCTGGTGTGAGGAGGGCCTATAGTCAGAAGGGCTTGTTAGCACCTGGACTGCCCTGAGGTGGGAAGCTGTGTGCATATGGAAGTTGTCTTTCCTCTGGAAGCATGGCATTAGAGGAAGACAGCAGACTTGGCCAGGCTATAGAGCCTTCTGCTGCTCCAGTACATGCCAGCTGGGTCTGAGGCCTGCTGTGTTATCTCCTGTTGAGTGTAGTGGTGTGCCCGTGAGGCCAGCTGGGCACATGAGCCCAGCATTAGGTCTCAATGAGACAGGCATGATGCTCCCAGGGGAGACTTGTGTACTCTCTTGCTCTCTGTTGTGACTCTGGGTTGCTGGCTGAACTTGCAGCTTTCTCCTTGTTCATGATGTGTGCTTTTCTCATCCTCACAGGCTGGGCCTTGATGGCATGAAAATGCAGGTAAGGGTCACAGAGTTGAGGCTGCTGGCTTTCTTTGCAGCCATCTCTGCCCTGTATTTTTTTTTAAAAATCTACTTATTTGTTTGTTCATTTTGTATTTTGAGACAGGGGCTTCCTACATAGTCTGACCTTGAACTTGTGATCCTCTGCCTGATATTGTGAAGTGCTGGGATTATAGGTGTGCACCACCATGCCTGGCTTGCCCCATATTTTTTATCCTTTTGGATTCATTAAGATTCAGAAGTCACAGGTGGGCATGGTGGTTCACACCTGTAATCCCAGCACTTGGGAGGCTGAGACAGGAGGAATGTGCTTGTGGCCAGTTTGGGCTGCATAGTCTGCATAGTGAAATCATGTCTCAAAAAAAAAAAAAAGTAACTCCTTTCTAGTACAAGTCCGGCAGCGCATGAGTAAAGGCCAACTTGCTGTCTAGTTCTGAGCTGTCTACAAGGGACCATGGGTGCCTCCTGGGGTGCCTCAGTCTATGATCTCCATGTGTTTTTATATGTCTGTCTGCAGCCATTGGGCAGAATAGCCTAAATTAGTTCAGACCTAGGTATAGCTCAGACCCTGTAGAAGCCCTCTTGTTGCTGTGATGGGGGGGGGGGGCTCTGGTTAGTATGGCTTCTCCTCTGTGCTATTGTTAGGAAGTTCCTCTGGCAGATCACTAGGACCTCTGTATCTTTAGTTTCTGGATCCTGGAGTCACCTTGGGGGTTGTCCTCTGCCTCTAGTCAGTGGGGTGTAACCAGGCAACACAACAGGCTTCCTCTCTGTGTGGCCCAATGGCAAGGGAGAGGGACATGTGTGGATGCTCAGGAAGAGAAGGAAATAGTTTACTGGAGGTAACACACGGTGTATGGTCAGCATCTTTCCAGATCCTTCCTGAGCTCTGGCTTGCAGGTAGACAGCAGATGCTCTGCTTTCTGGGTAGAGGTGTCTGGCTGGGATCTTTGATCCCTGAGGGACCATGGAAGAGCTGAGGGTCTAATTACCCCGTGGGTTTAGAGGCCTCTGAATGGGACTTCTAAAACTCAGTGGAACTTGGCTACCTGCTACTGAACTGGGACCAGAGTGTTGTCTGGGGAACCAGGCTCCCAGGTGGGATTTGAGGTATGGCCTCCCCCACACTGTCAAGACCCCAGTGGTGTCTCAGCTGGGTCCCTGCCATGTCAAGCATACTTGGAAATGGGGAGTATTTCTGGTTGTCCCGTGATTGGGGTTCCCTGCTGTCACGGGGGATGGTGAAGAAGTTCTCAGGGGGTTGTTTAATCCTACATATGTCCAAAGAGAGTTGCTGTCCTGCTGGGGGCCTGTGAAAGCAGGTGGGGCTTCATTACCAACATCTGCCTTCAGAACTCAACATTCTTGTTCTTTCAGGACTTCACTGGGAAAGGGGTGCACAGGGCTCTCAGAGTCTGGGGTGGAGTTATTGGCTGAGTTCCTGACCCCCTCAGATCCTGGGAGGCAGTGGGTTGGGTTGCTATAATGGCCCATCCTTTGCATGTAGGGCACCAACGGCTCACAGATCTGGGACACCTCATTTGCCATCCAAGCTCTGCTGGAGGTATGTGACTCCATCTCCCCCCTGCAGCCTTTGCCTAACCTTCCTGTGCATTTGAGCCACATGTCCACCTTGAGAGATGTGGCACTAGCCTGGCCCCAAACATCTCTGATAATGATGCTGTGTAGGTGCTGGCTCTTCTGGCACCTTGGGAAGTTGAGCCTGCAGAGCTGTTCCAGAGGGAGCCGGCGAGGGTGGTACGTGGGCTGGGTGGACCCAAGGTCTTAGAACTTTAGCTGTTTGTGTGTACATTTTTGAGCATGTGCTAAAGAAGAATGAGGATGTTTCTATGCTGGTGGGAATGAGGGTAGAAGAATTCTGCGGGTGTTTCTGTACAGCCCAAGGCCTAGGGCTACCTGAGGTGGGGCCTGAGGTTCTCTGTGTAGGTGCTGGTAGAGCAAGTGAGGCACCAGTAACTCTCCAGGGTAGTATTCCACTCCCTTCAATCTTCAGTTATATCTTACTTTTTTCTATCTTTAAAGGTAAGTGCGGCAACAAGCCCTAGAACTTTCTGAAGATGTGTGTCAGTTTCTTATTGAGATAGAGACAGGATGTCACCAGGACAGTGGATGACTGGTTCAGCTGTGCTGTCCTGCTCTCTTCCAGGCAGATGCACACCACAGGCCTGAGTTTTTGTCCTGCCTGCAAAAGGCACATGAGTTCCTGAGGCTCTCACAGGTGAGGCCTGTGTACCTCCTTATGTCTTCTCTGTCCCACTTCTCCTAGCTGGCTTTCTCAGGTTGCCCCTACCCTGCTATGCCCAGCCCTTGTGTTGGACCATCCACCTCATTCATTCCAGGGCAGCTCTTGTCATGGCCTACAGTGGCCGATCACCGGGTAGTGGTTTCTGCTCTTCATGCTGAAGTGGCTATGTACAGAGAGTCAGGGCTGGCCCAGGAGATGTGTCCCTGAGCCTCAAGGGTTGTTCATACCCCAGCACCTTTGATGCATCTCATGCCAGTAGAGTCATTAACAACAGCCTGTGGCCATTTCCTTCTGAGATTGTATGTAGTCATCTACCTGCAAGATCAGCCCACCTTTCCCTCAGTCCAATTGGACACTTCAGCATCTCACTCCTTCCTACTACCCCCCATCTGCATCCCCTGCTGTGTGCCCCATTCTCCTGTGCTAATCTGCTCCTGCCACAGTGACTGCCACCACCATCAGCCTTAGCCTGTCGGAGAGCACCAGACCCCAAGCCACTGACTCCCTCTTATCTGATCTCATGAGGTTGCAGCTTCATCAGGAGTCTCCTGTGGCTGAGGCCCATGTCTATCTAAGGCTGGTGGGGGTCAAGTCTACGCTGCTTCTCCTTCACAGTAGAGCCTGCTTTCTGGCTCCTGTCCAGCACATGCACTGATCGATCAGTGGTGCCTTGGGGAGCAAACTGGATCCTGTTGCACACTCAGACCTATTTGCTCTCTCACTGAGCTGAGCAGGGAAGCTTAGGAGCAGATGGTCCATGGAGCTGGGGTGGGATAGTGGGTTGTTAAGCCCTCTCTGACTGGTCCTATTTCCCGTCAGTGGCAGGGCTATGGATCACATGGGTGATAACCTCCCAGGTGCCTTGCTGCACTCATGGTGGCTGTGGCTGGCAATAGCTGTGCCTCCCAGATGGCAACATGAGGTCCTAAGTGCCATTGTGTCTTTTGCTTTCCACATGTTTCCCCTGGTGCTGCCCAGGTCCCAGATAACCTTCCAGACTATCAGAAGTATTACCGCCAGATGATGAAGGTATGCATTGGCCAACCCGCCTGATCCCCAAGCTCAACTGCTCCTTCCCTTTGAGGGGTGTTTCCCCGTGGTCCTTGGGCTTCTTGCTTTGTAGGTGTCTGTGTGAGAGCCAGTGCCCAAGTCTCTAAAGCTGTCTGTTGTGTGGTGGTCCACCATCCCTCTGGGTAGTCTGCATACTCATGGTCATGCCTCAGGGCAGTTCAGGCATCACTGTACACACACTCTGACTGAACATGAGTCAGAGTGTTAAGGGGAAGATGAAGGAAGAAGTAACTCTGAGCTGACACCAGGCTCTGAGCTCCTAGGTACAGGCCATGGAATGAGGCATGGACACAGCTGCTTGCCTTTTCACAGTGGGTTAGGAGGGTACCTATGCTTCCACTCCCATTCTGTGGTGAGATCTGAGGGATCCTGTGGGACTGAAGCTCTGGGGGTCCCTATGCCAGAGTCAAGCTCCATCTAGATGTGCCCAACTTGGGTCCCTCTGAGCAGGATGGGTCTCTGTCCTGACTGGCATCTTTGCGGGTAAGGGGCGCTTGTCATTATGGCTGGTCACACTGGCATTCTGCAGGGCGGCTTCTCCTTCAGCACGCTGGACTGTGGCTGGATCGTTGCAGACTGTACATCCGAGGCCTTGAAATCCGTGCTGCTCCTGCAGAAGCAGTGTCCCTCTATCACTGAGCATATCCCCCGAGAGCGGCTCTGCGACGCTGTGGATGTGGTGAGGATCCTACCCTATGCACTTAATGTCCTGCAGATGAGACTGTGCTCACCCCTATCTCAGCAGCCTAAGGGCAGGCTATGGGAGCTCATGCTCAGGCAGCATCAGGGGTTGGGAGACTGAATGCTGGACTGGGCCCTTGAGGCCTTGGTTGACTATGTGTACAGGGTCCTGAGCTATAGGTGCTGGTACCTGGCCCTGCCACAGGGGCCCAGGGGAGGCTGTGTGGTTTCAGAGGCTTCTTTCAGTTCTGGAGGCTCCATGACCTGCTGCATCCATGCTAGACTCTTGCAAGCCTCCAGGAGGGCTAGTGGTCTCTGCTGGGTGTCCGAAGGAAAGTTATCAACTTTCCAGTTTTGTGCAGTCCTTGTAGCATCTCTGATTCTTATATGTTTTAGACTGTGGCGATCTGCACTGCCCTAGCAGTGGCAGTGACTCCTAAGTAGATGAGCCTGTTGGGTGTGTCCCCAGAAGGCTGTGCAAGGCCCTGACTGCTGTGGCCACAGCAGCTGCATTGGGCATCTGAGGGCTTGCTTAGCATAAAAACTAACTTCCTGTCCATTTTCATGTCACTTCTCAGTATGTCCTCTCTGGTTTTAGTTGCTGAACATGAGGAATGCTGATGGAGGGTTTGCCACCTATGAGTCCAAGCGTGGGGGACACTTGTTGGAAATGCTAAATCCCTCAGAGGTCTTCGGTGAGTGGGTTGGCCAGCAATGTGGCAGGCAGGCCAGGCCCAACATGCTGGTAGGTCCATGCTGAGCCCTCCCCGAGCCCTGCATTGTGGATGAAGGACTGTGTTTGTCTCAAGGACCATGGAAGACTTGGGTGGGATTTACATCTAACTTTCTGTCCTCAACCTGGACTGGGTCTCGCTTACCTAAAGGGCCTTGTGCAGTGTGGAGACCGCCACACACCCTGAGTATCCTCATAGAGCCCTGGCATTTACGGGAGCTGTGGAGGTCTATGCTGTGGGATGCTGGGACATGTCTATCACTGATGTTCTGGTCTGGCAGGGCAGGTTCTCTCCTGCCCTTTGAGCACCTGCTCTACCCCTTCTTACTGGTCTCTATCTCATTTCTTGACCTGTCAAACAGTTTTCTGGGGGTGTGATACAGATGTCTGTAGTGCATCCTTAGTCCTGTCCGTACCCTTTCCTCACCCTGTGTAGCACAGGTGGACAGGCCTAGCCCTGCCCCTGCCTGGGTCAGTCTGGGGGGTGGTGTCCAGGTGCAGCCTGTCCATACTATGGGGCTCTTGCTGGCCCATCGGGCCTGATGCAGGCCCTGGACTGTAGTCCTTCCTTCCCTTTGCAGGGGACATCATGATCGACTATTCATATGTGGAGTGTACTTCGGCAGTGATGCAGGCACTGAAGCTTTTTCATGAGTACTACCCAGAACACAGGGCAGGAGAGATCAGGTAAGGAAGGCTAAGGCCCAGGACACCCTGCTGTGTGGGCACCTCATTTTCTAACACAAGGCCCTGGCAACTTCAGCAGGGCAACTGCAGAGAATGACTTGAGTAAACACTGGAGTGGTTTCAGCTGTCCCCAGATTTGGAAGCGTACATGTGGGGTGAAGACAGTATAGTTGTGACACAAAAATGGGTTATTTTCTACATCTTCTTAATAGTGTTAAAAAATGGGCATACATACTAAGCTCCACCATTGGTGTCCAAGTAAATAGCAGCTGAATATTCTTTACATTGAGAGGCAATGAATGCTCAAAGAAACACTTAGGGTCTTCATGAGGGAATGGCAGCATCAGTTAAGCCCCAGCTCTTCCTGAGCCCCAGGAAGAGACGCTACTTTCTGTCTACTCAGTAGCAGGTTACTGTTGCTTGCTTGAAGCTGTACCTGGGTGGAATCCCCCAGAGCGGACACACATTGCCCCTCATTCAGTTTTGTGTTTGTGAGTTAGAGCCAGGTAGCAACAGTGACCCTGTCTTTGCTCTCAGGCTATTAGTTAAAGGCAGATTAGGATTTTTATAGCTGTGGTTATGAGAGAAACTGGTTTGGAGTTTTCCTTTCTTTCAGTGTCCTTGTCAGGTTCTTCTGTTAAATAAATGCTGGACTCATAACACCAGTGAGAATATTTTATATAGTCTTTGGAAGGACATACAATGTTTGTGCTATTTTCCCTTAAATGTTTAAAAAAATTCACTAGGTTTATTTGGACCCAGAGTTTTCTTAGAGGAAAGATCTTAAATTATTAGCTCAATTTCTTTATAAATATAGGACTGTATAGATTTTGTATCAATTTTGGGAAGTTTTTGCATTTCAACAACTCAGATTAGTCCACAGTTGTTACACTGTCATCTCAAACTGCTCATTTTCCTTCTTATCATACTGATTGTTTGAAAGAAATCATCTTTGTCTTCAGTCCTGCCTAGAATACATTTGCTTATGTCTTAAAATTCAGTTGTTTTTGGCTTCATCCGTTTCTTCTCTTTACTGTTGCTTTTCTAGTTTACGATTTTTCAGGTTTCTTCTCACCCTCAAGACTGTAAGTTTTGAGATATTACTTGCTTAAAATATTTTCTATTTTTCTTGTGTGTTTTTCTCTGGTGATGAGTTATTTAGGATTATGGCACTTCATTTCCAAAAAAATCTGAAGATTTTTCTAGTTGTTTATGCTGTAGGCCCTGGACAGACAGCTACAGATGCAGCCATGCAGGACACTGTGCCTGGTCTTATCACCCAGCCTGGAGTGGCTCTTGATCATGTGCTACCCAGAGCTCCAGTAGTCCTCAGACACACCTACTAAATGGGCCTCTCACTCTTGCTTTCTGCCTGTGTGATCCTGGATAGTCATTTCACCCTGCTTCCTCTCCTTGCCCATGGGACAGAGTGCAGCCTCACTGAGCTGGAAGGAGGAGTGAGACAGATGCCTAGGAAAGCGTATCCCAGCTGATGAACTATGCAGGACCATAGTGAGCAGTTGTGGGCTTCATTGGCATTTCTTTGGTGACTAGTAAGCTAGAATATCCTTTTTGATATTTACAGGTAATTATTTCTCTTCCTTCCCTTCTTCCCTTCCCTTCCTCCTCCTCTTCCCCCCCCTTTCTTTTCTTCCCCTTCTCCTTCCTTCCTTTTCTACTCGTCTTCCTCTTCCCCTCTTCCTGCTCCTTCTCTTCTTTTCTCCTTTGCCTTCTTCTCCTTCTTTTTCTTTGTTGTTTGAGACATGGTTTCACTATGTAGCCCAGGCTGGCTTGGAACTCATGATGCTTCTGGCTCTGCCTCCCAAGTGCTATGATTACAGGTATGCACCACCATGCTTTTGTGACATGTTGGTTCATGTCCTGGCTAATACTTTTACTAGGATGATTTTTCTTCTTGATCTACATGTTTAAGTGTAGTATTTTTTGTATTTTATGTCACAGATATTTTCCCCCCAATTTTTTTGCTGTTTTGTTTTTCTTTTAATTTTGCAAATTAAAGGGAGTTTGAACTTTAATTTTTTTTTTTTTTTCTGTATTGAGGTTTGAACTCAGGGCCTTCACGTTGAGCCACTCCAACAGACCTTTTTTTGTGATGGGTGTTTTTTGAGATAGGGTCTTGAGAACTGTTTTGCCCAGGCTGGCTTTGAACCTTGATCCTCCTGAACTCTGCCTCCTGAGTAGCTAGGATTACAGGTGTGAGCCACTAGTGCCCGTCTGAACTTTAATTTTTAAAGTATCAAACATATTAATTTAATGTATTAAAAATTTTAATTTACTTAAGTTTCTGAGATACAGTTTGGGGTTGCCAGTTATTCTAACACTATCTGTAGAATATTTCATTTTTATGACACTAATAATCCTTTTTTAATTTCAAACCTACAGGAAAGTACAAATATAGTAGAAAGCACCCCCATTTATCTCTTACTTATTCCTCAGTTGTGCCATTTTAATGTATTTGCTCATCCTGTTTCCTTTCACATATATTTTTTCTTGAAAGATTTGAGAGTAAGTTGCAGGTATGATATATTTTTACCCTTAAATACATTTAGCATTTCCTAGCAGGGATACTCTTTTATGTAGATAAAAATCCAAATCTTGGTAAAATATTATTTAAAATATTATTTGTCAAAGATCAAATGGCTGTAGCTCTGTGGATTTATTTCTGGGTCTTCTGTTCTATTCGTTGAGTCTGTTTTTTGCCAGTACAATGCTGTTTTTGTTACTGTGGCTCTATAGTATAATTTAAAGTCCAGTATTTTGTGAAACCTCTAGTGTTGCTCTTTTTACTCAGAATCACTTTTGCTAGTTGGGGTCTTTTATGTTTCCATATGAATTTAAGATTGATTTTTCTATTTCTGTGAAGAATGACATGGGATTTTGATGGGAATTTCATTGAATCTATAGATTTTGGAAGTATAGACATTTTCATAATATTAATTCTGATCCATGAATGTGGGAGGCCTTTCCATCTTCTGGTATCTTTTTCACTTTCTTTCTTCAAGGTTTTGTTATCTTTCATTATAGGGTTCTTTTACCTCCTTAGTTAATTTGATTTCTAGTTTTTTATTTTGTTTTTGTTTTGAGGCTATTGTGAATGAAATAGGTTTCCTGATTTCTTTTGCAGCCTGTTGGCATATAGAAAAGCTACTGATTTTTGTTTGTTAATTTTATATCCTGCTACATGGCCAAAAGTATTTATCAGATCCAGGAGTTTTAGGATCTTTTGTTTGGTTTTGGTGGTACTGAGGTTTGAACTCAGAGCTTTGTACTTGTTAGGCAGGTGCTGTACAACATGAGCCACACCTCCAGCCCTTTATGCTTTGTTTACTTTTGAGATAGGATCTTGTGCTTGTACCCAGACTGGAGCGGACCTTGATTCTCCTACTTGTGCTTCCTGTGTAGCTTGGATGACATGTGCTCCCCACCACACCCAGTTTTTTATTGATTGAGCTGGGGTCTTGTGAACTTTTTGCTGGACTGGCAATGAATTGAAATCTTCCTGATCTCTACCTCTTGAGTAGGTAGGATTACAGGTGTGAGCTACCATGCCTGGCTCAGGGTCTCTTAAATATAGAATCATACCATCTGCAAATAAAGATAATTCAACTTCTTCTTTCTCAATTTGAATCCTTTTTATGTCTTTCTCTGCCTTATTGCTTTGGCTAGGAATTCTGATACCATGTTGGGTAAGAATGGGGGACATGGACACCCTTCTCTTCTTTCTGATTTTAGAGGAAATGATTTCAGTGTGTCTTGATCAGTACGATGTTGGCTATAGGTTTGTCATAGACATGCTTCATTATGTTGAGATGTGTTTCTGTTATTCCAAATTTATTCAGAGATTTTATCATGAAAGAATGTTAAATTTGTTCAGATGCTTTTTCTATATCTAATGAGATAATATGATTTTTTGTCCTTGATTTTGTTTCTGTGCTTTATTATATTTATTGATTTGCATGTGTTAAACTGTCCTTGCATCTCTGGACTAAAACCAGCTTGATCATCATGTATGATCTTTCTTCTTTTTTTTTTTTTGTTGTGTCCTTATTGGGTTTACTGGGTAATGAGGATAATACTGGCTTCACAGAATAAGTTGGCAGTGTTCCTTCTCTTTCTATTTTATGGAATAGTTTGAGGAGGACTGGTGTTCTTTAGAGGTCTGTAAGACTCAGCAATGAATCCACATGGTCCTGGGCTCTTCTTTGTTGGGAGATGATTACTGCCTCAATCATTTCTTGTTATAGATCTGTATCAGTGGTTTATATCCTCTTCTTTCAATTTTGGTAGGTCAAGTGGATCTAGAAATTTGTCCATTTCTTTTAGACATTTCAGTTTTTTGGAATATAAGTTTTTGAAGTATTCCCTAATGATTCTATGGGTTTCATTGGTATTTGTTATATCCCCCTTTTCATCTCTTGATTTTATTTATTTGAGTCTTTTTCTCTCCTCCTTTTGGTCACTTTGGCTAAGGGTTTATCAATCTTATTTATCTTTTCAAAGAGCCAACTTTTTGTTGCAGCAATTCTTTGTAACTTTAAGTCTCTGTTTCGTTAATTTCTGGCCTTGGGGCAACTCCTAAATGTATCGGGAAGTCAGGGGAGCAAAAAGAGCACTGACTTTTGCACTGTCTGGGGAAGGCACTTTGCCACTCTCCTCCTGGACTCAGTGTTTACAGACCCCATCCAGCAGTTCAACTCCCTATGGAGAGGAGGAAGCTGTGAAAGTTTCATGATTCAGAAGGTCTCACCTCTAGGCCCTCAGTACTGACTGAAAACAAACACTTGCCAGGATGCAGCTCCCAGGGATGGGTCTCAGTGCTTCCAGGCCCTGTCTGACAGTTCATCTCCCTGTTGAGGGGAGGAGGCTGTGGAGATCATACGATTCAGAGGGTCTGGGCACAGGGCTCTGACTCACCTAGCAGTCAACACACAGAGCCAGGAGGCAAGCCTTGGAGGCTGAATTCAAACTAGCCATATGCT